CGGGGTCTGCGGCGGGATGGCGGCAGCGGGATGGTGGCAGCGGGGTGGCGGCAGCGGGGTGGCGGCAGGATGTGAGATGACGGTCCCTAGTGATGCCACAACATGGCGGCATCACGTATCATTATAAACACTGATAGCGCCGGGGACTTCCCGCACCCTCCTTCTCCTTCCCCGCGCCTACCAGTACCCCCCCGCGCCTACGAATACCTCCCGCGCCCCGCGCTCTCCTCTAGCCCCATGGGTTAGAACCCACTTTGTTATGCTACTCTTGACTTAATTGGTTTGATCATCCTCCGATCTCAGTTGGCGGATCATTTTCTGATCTTGTCTTAATTAGCTGGATCATCCTCCGACTTTGCCTCAGTTGACTGGATCATATTCCGACCTTGTCTTCGGGTATTTATTACTTCTTACTATAGAATATTCAATAACTTTGAAACTGACTTAATCAATAAAATTATGACTTTGAAAAGATATTGAAAAGGATTATAAGAATATGTAATAAAAAATAGGGTCCAAAATAGGTTTAAAAAATTCAAAATGACTTTGACCTCAACGACGCCAGCTAGAGTCAAACTGATGAGACTTTGAATAAATCTTTTTAAATTCTACAACTTTTATTTGAAACATTTTTCTGTAAAACTTATATTTTTGGAGATTTTCCATACTTTTTCCTCATCCTGCATAGTTTAAATATGCGGTTACTTTTATATAACGTAATTTTACAATACATAGTTCTTATTATATAATTCTAACAATATTTATAAATAGGAACTTAATTTAATTTAATTTAATTTCAAATCAAATTTTAAACCTGTTTCCAATTAGCAATAAAATGTACATTTATTTTTCATACTGTTTATAATATTATCTAAAGCATAAACTATTAACTCACACTCTATATTTGATTTTTTATTATAAATTTTGCGCAAAAAATCTACAGCATCATATTTATCGATGTTATAATTTTCACCTAAAAGTGTTACAAAATATTTAAATTTTTCATTGACGATATGCGTATATTGGCATAGTTCAGAGTATACGTTCTCGACGCAATGTTTGAGTTCGAACATGAAAAGCACGGTTCATATACCGACATGTTTCGCGCAGTGTTAATTTGACCATTTTCACATCACGCATTTTTATGATTTCCATCACTAGATCTTGGACTAATAATGATGAAGGTGCGATTGATTACACGAACCGCTCAATATCCGCGCGACTTTCAAAAGCCTGTCACATTGCACGAGGCAAAATTATTATTATATTGTTACGTTGGTTTGTCGAAATTACAATTTCTACAAAAGACACAGGTGATTCCGAGATCATCACATCCAGATATTTGTAAGCTGTCAGTGTAAATCTTCATCCCAATATACGAGAT